AAAATAATGAATCCATAAGTGAAAATCAACATTAAAATTAGTTCAACTGCATGTGTATATTTGTGGGCCAATATATTTCAACTTTATATTGTAGATATTTGCTTTTTGATAGTACTAATCATATATGTTTTATTTTGGTTGTCGTATGTACGTACGTACGTTCTATTCCTTCGGCAAACAGTACGGAGAAAGGTAATATATATATATAGATCTAATATGTTGGTATAAAATAGCGGGTCCACTAATTTAAACGAAAATCGACGTCATGTATAAATCTAATTTAACGGTATAAAATAACGGGTCCACCAATTTAAATGAAAATCGACGGTGAGATTAGACTATGCCACATGGCGACCTAGGAGCGTTTGTAGGAGTGCCATGTGGCAGCTTGGGAGTGTTTATAGAAAGATTAATGGACTTTTAGTATATAATATATATGTATGACGCCGTTGACTTTTCAACCAACGTTTGACCATTTGTTTTATTCAAAATTTTTGTACACGTATGAAAATATTTATGTCATACTTAAAGAACATTTAATGATGGATCAAGTCATAATAAAATAAATGATAATTATATAAATTTTTTGAATAAGACGAATGGTCAAACGTTGGACAAAAAGTCAAGGGCGTCATACATTAAAATATGGAGGTAGTATTGGAATACGATCATTCTGCATCAAAAGAAAGAAGAATATGATCATTTATTTATGCTCGTTCTATATCAAGCTCTCTATGACTCAATCAAAAAGAGAGCGGAACTAGCAAAATACACGTGCTTCACTATAGTGTATTAAAACTAAAAATATTTGTTTTTAACCAAAATTATTTTCACACTACTTTAGTACTTTTGCTCGCTAGAAAAAGTCTCAAATAATAGAGAGAAATATAGTTCCGAAGAAAAGGAGAGAAAAAAAAAGACAAAAGCCGGTTTGATTTCCACCTTTACACGGTGCGAGTCAACATGGACTCTAAAGATATGGGTAGATCTACCGGGTGGCTCAGCAGCACGGTTGACCAGCGAATCAGCGAGCAACCTCAGACTAATCAACGACCGTAGCACGGTAGGTAGCAGCCGCGTCTGACCGTCCGCTTACCTTCCAAGACAGCGGTGACCATGACTCTACACTATTATTATTTCAATGTTTATTATTTTTAATTATGGCCTTCGTCCGTCTTGTGACGAACGAAAAGTTACAAATCTTTTAATTGGTTAAGATTAAGATATAAATTAAACTTCTTTTCTTCGGCTGAGGGACCTAGAACAGACTTTTTCCCGGCCTGGCTGGTTCTTTTCTTCGGCCGAGGACCTAGAACAGACTTTTCCCCGGCCTGGCCGGTCGGCCCGCGTCCTCTTATGCGCACGTGCAGGCGCTCCCCCCTCCCCGGGCCACAATCTGGGCCTAGGCTGGGGAAGCCGCCCTGCACGCGCCTCCACTTGGGCCGGTTTCGTTCCATCCAATACCAGCCGTCCGATATTAGGTTTTCGATCAGATAGCCGGGCGTCGATGTCGGAGGGACAAAAGCCCATCCCTCCCGGCCGTTGGCGAAAACCCTAGCCTCTCGCCGGAGCCGGAACGGACGGCGAAAAGCAGCGGCGCCGGCGCATGCCCCCCATTGTCTACCATTGTTGGGCCCGATGTGTGACGGGGGAGATTGTTGGGTTTAGTCCCACATCGGTAATTGATGATGGGGGAGCACGACTTAAAAGGTGGGGGCGGTCCTCACCCACCAGTGGCTCCGGTTGGGACTGTGGTGGAGCAGGCCCAATATGACCTGGGTGGCCCACGGTTGGTGGGCCGGGCTGCGCACTCTAACAAGTGGTATCAGAGCTGAAGGTTTCAGTATTGGATCAAGAAGACATGTGGAGGACGAAACATGAGGTGGGGATCGCAGGTTTCAGTATTGGATCAAGAAGACATGTGGAGGACGAAACATGAGGTGGGGATCGCACATCGACAGGAGATCAATGGCGACGATCTCGCTCGCGATCAGATCGGCGATGGCGGAACGTGACCGCGGGCGTGGCCGAAGGCGACCGGAGAGATCGAAGGGGTAACACCATGGATGGCGTGCCAGACGCACGCAGCGATCGCGGATCCGCGGTGACAAGGAGGCTAGTGACGGAAGGGCGAAGTCGACGAGCGTGGCGTGGCGCGGCGGACGTGCAGGGCCGATGACGACGGGGCTGTGGACGGTGAACACGAGGGCTGTGACTGTGGTGCGTGCGAGGGCACGGACAACATGTATGGACGTGCTACACGCGTACAGTATGCACGGAAGTGAGCAAGTCATACAAGCCATGCACACGCACGGGCATATATGCAGTTCGATTAATTTCAGGTTTGCCTATAGAATTAACTAATTGCATGATGATGAATGGTGGGCGTGAGATGCATGCACATGTGACAGAAAGGAGTCATGCAGAAGGCCTGTTGGCTGGTTTGAGCAGGAGGTGCAGCGGATTGAGGAGGCACTATGAAGGAGAAAACGCCGGGTCACAGAGTCCGACTCTAACTCAACCCCCTAACATCTATTACAACTCCAAGTCCAACTGTAATTAAATAGGACTAGCATATTCGACACCTATTCTAACAAACTCTACCTTGACGAATATACGCCACCTAGAAGTAGTAGAATCACCATGCCGATCCACCTGTCCTCCAGACTTGGGTTGTCATCTTTGCAGCTTCACCGCAAGCCGCCCGACGAGTATGCGCCAGACCCGCCGCCACCGAAAACAATTGCTATCCTAGCAACCGCTCCCTCTTGGACTCCACCTGCAACAGTGCACCCTCGTAGCTTGTAAAGATGCGACTCCACCTTCTCTCCCGTCATCACAGTCGTCTTGTCCTTCATGATCTCCATGGTCTTCCTATTCCGATTACCGCGGAATATTAACCCTTCTTCATGCAAGGTTTCAAGCGAAATCAGATTCCTCTTTAGCCCTGGTACATGCCTGACTCCCTGAAGAACATGTTCACCTCCATCTTCTAGCTTGATATTGACTTCACGTACTCCCACGGCCGGATAACTTGTGTCATCGCCTAACTAGACAAAACCAAACTCACCAGACTTGTATGAAGAGAACCACTCCTTCCTTGGCGTCACATGAAACGAGCTAGCTGAATCCAATATCCACGCTTCTGCATCCTTAGACTATGCACTTGACATCGTGAGAAGATCACAACCATCGCTTTCCAAGTCATTTGAAGAAGTCACTGTATTAGCCTTTGCTTTTCCCTTCAGCGTTGGATACTCCCTGCTTATATGCCCCCACTCATCACATCTGAAGCACTACACCATCTTCTTCTTTTTGTTCTTCTTTACCTTATGCCCAACATGATCTTCTTTTACTAGCAAACCCTCCGCTTGAGATGTTTCACCCTCTTTGTTCTTTCTCATCTGATCACGAGCCAGCAACGCAGAAGTGATATCTTTAGTTTTGATGGTCTTCTTGCCGTACGTCAAAGTAGTCACCACATGCTCATACGATTCAGGTAACGAACACAAAAGAACTATGGCCTTGTCTTCATCGTCAACTTCCACATCCATCTTCATAAAATCTGTGACTAGTTGATTGAAAACGTTCACATGTGCTGTCAGATCTGCCCCTTCCTGCATCTTTAGCCCATACAACTTCTACTTCAGATACAGTTTACTGGTCAGAGTCTTGGACATAAATTGAGCTTCCAACATTTCCCAAATTATCTTTGGTGAGGTCTCCTCCATCGCATGGTACATGACCTGATCTGAAAGACATAGCCTTATTGTCGCAGCCGCCTGCAACTGCATCTCCTTCCAATCGTCATCCTCCATCTTGGCCGGTTTTTCACCCTTCAAAGCCTTTGAAACTCCTTGTTGAGCTAACAAATCTTTGACCTTGGTTTGCCACAAGCCAAAATTTCCGGAGCCGTCAAACTTCACCAAATCAAATTTCATACCTGTCGGCGCCATCTTTCCAACCCGCGACCTAACTGGTCTGTCGCCACCAGAATACTCGCCCTTCTCGATATAGTCTGTATTCGTCTTCACAAACTCGTCTTGTGATCCGATCTCAGACATCAACTAATGAACCCACACTCACTTCAAAGATTGATCCTTATGGTTATGTGCTGTTGGCCCAACCAGAAAAAAAAACCAAATCACTTTTTCTTTTTTTTTCTGGCCCACCACCTGAGCCCAACCAATCTGGACCAAACTAGACCACCATTGCCAATGTGTGACGGGAGAGATTGTTGGGCCCGATGTGTGACGGGGGAGATTGTTGGGTTTAGTCCCACATCGGTAATTGATGATGGGGAACACGACTTAAAAGGTGGGGGAGGTCCTCATCCATCAGACTAGTCTTTTGGGTTGTGTAGACCCAAAATCTAAAGTTGTGGCTCCAGTTGGGATTGTGGTGGAGCAGACCCAATATGACCTGGGTGGCCCACGGTTGGTGGGTCAGGTTGCGCACTCTAACAACCATTCCACAAATCCTAGATCACCGGTGGCCAGATCCACGTGAAATGCTTGGGCGGACTTTACCGGCACCGGCCATGCCAACTCCTCCAATGCCCCCCCCCCCCCCACCACAAACTCCAAGCCCACCTCTGCCTCCCCAGTGACTCTGAGAAGCTCGCCGATGAGGATCTGAGCCGCCGCCACTGCCACACCATCTTACTCCGCGGGTAGCTTGAGCTCGAGCTCCAACAACCTCGGCATCTTCCCCAAGCCTTCAGCGGTACCAACCTCTTGGCATCCAAGTCGACGTTGGCGCTCATGTCCGGTGGTCCCTCCCCTGCGGCCCTGCAGACGGCAGCACGTCAATGCGTGAAGGAACAACGGCGGTGGCGGAGGGGGAAAAGGAGGAAGAGTAGTCATCGTCATCGACCCCCCCCCCCAACCCCCCCACGCCACCCCACCCCTATGCACGTCGGAACCGGCCTCCTGAAGCTTGCCGATGGGGAGGAGAAGAAAAGCAAAGGAGGAGGAAATAAAAGGGTATGTGACGGAAACTGGGGAAAAAAAGATAGAAAACGTAATGGTGAAAGCATGGTTCCATATATCACTCATATATGCGTTCATCAAATTGAACGAAAAAAAAAACCTAGCCAACGATATCAGCGCTTGCATCTCTTGCAGTAATGGAGCTCCTTTGACATTGGGGATGCGCAAGCGTAGCAGAAGCAATATCCACATCTACAAACACAAATCAAACCACTAGAACTAAGACCTTCACAAGATCAAAATATCAAAATCATGACTAGAAACCGAAATTTTCCATAGAGAAATATCGAGAAATGGAACGGAAAGCACTTCACAAATAAAGGAAGCAAAGATTATGACGCATTTTTCTCATACCTGCACTTCATGAACATGCATCCCTCGGATTTCTCCACGTACATCCTGCACTGGGGGCACCGCTGCCACCGCTCCCTGCCGGCGAGCCGCCGCACCATCACGTCCTCCCGGCCGCGCTCGTCCTCCCCGAGCTCCTGGAACTCCTCGCACCCGACGCCGTCGTGCCACGGCACCATACACCGCGCGCAGAACAGCCGGTGGCAGCTCGGGCACTCGGCCTCCGCCACGCCGCCGCCCTCGCCGTCGGCGTCGGCGAGGAGCGGCTCTGAGCAGTCCCGGAACGGGCAGTGCAGCCTCCTCGCGACGATCGCCGCCTCGCACAGCAGGAGGCCCCACCTGTCGAGCACCTCCGAGGGGACGACGCCGCGGCAGCTCTCCGGCTCGACGCCGCCGCCGCAGCCGGGGTCAGGGCACCTGACGTCGGCGGTGTTCTCGCCGATCTTGGCCGCGACGTACTGGCCGATGCAGCACACGCAGAAGGCGTGGAGGCATGGGCTGACGCTGAACTTGAGAGCGCCGGGCACCGTCTCCATGCAGATGGAACAGTAGAACTCGCCGGCGCCGCCGCCGCCGGTAGTCGTCGTCATCGTCAACGGCGACGGCGAAGAGGACTCGCCATGATCGGCAACGGAAAAGGGTTTCTTGGATTCTTGCCCCTGATCTTGGCCGATCAGAATCAGATTGCCGATGGAGTCGTCGTCGTCGGTGTCCTGGATGATCATTTCTTGGAAGGCAGAGAAGAGGATGGCTTCCTGCAATTGCAATTCCTCCGCCAACGCGTCGTCAATGTTCATGGCGTCAACGTCAACGCGTTTATTCTCCATTCCTTATCAATTGTTCTAAGATGGAAGAACTACTAATCGAGTTGCAGCTACAAGCCAAGCCAGAGTGTGTATCTGATCATGGCATGATCATGCTTATAAAGGAAAGGAGATCGGAAGAAGAGTTAATTTCCTAGAAAAATGAAGGCATCTACAAGTTGTTTTCTAGGTGGAAATGGATTCGCATGTTTGCTAGTCTTATTTTTCTTTTTTGTTCTTTTTAGTTATCTTGTCGAACTAGTACAAGTTACTCCTATTGCTTTTTGCAGCTAGCGAGCTATCAACGAAATTTCCACGTTATGGCACGATCGGTCGGTTACTTTAATTTTTCCTAGTCAGAAGAACAGTCAGCTGTGAGCATGGTTTTAATTCTCCCGCTCCGCTATAGCTGTTTGAGAAGGGTTCTAGCTATTTGCTCTCATGTACAATTTAATCGCTATAGCTCCATTTAGCCCGCTATTTAAAACATTGGCTGTGAGCATGTGAGCTCAGTCCAACCGTTCAAGTAGGCGGAGATGAATTCTAATTACTGGCATAGATGTCTACCCATACATGTCAACTCAATACTATGAATTTGTTAAAAAAATGAGAAGATAATTTAATATGAAATATATCACTCCACAAATATACAAGTCAAAATTAACTTCTATAAATTTGTAATAAAAATAACAAATTTAACTGTGAATATATTGTATAATGATAGAGTTTAATATATTGTATAATGATAGAGTTTAGTTTGTTATTTTTGTTATAACTTGTATAAGTCGAATTTAAATTTCTATATTGATGAAGTGACATATCACATATTAATTTATCTTGTTAATTTTTTCATAACTATTTAGTTGAAACATGCAACAAATGTGTGGATGTTGACATAAGTGATTAAAAGTTTAAAAGTGTTTTCCCCAAGTAGCACCATATTTAATTTTAGCATAACATAGAATAGGATTCTAATCACTCAGGGATTCTTCTACAAGCTTCCCCTTATCAAATGGAACGCAAATATGTGTTCTAATTAAATCTGTGTTCTCAGCTTCATCCAGTCAGCTTTGAGCTTTCTGCTTATGTAGTTATGTTTGTCCACAACCTTTCAATACATTTTTCACAAGGTAGAGAATCCTCTACCATGCTTTCTCCTCATATATTATAGTATTGATTAATCCTCGATTTGATTACCTTTGAACCATTCACATCGTAGGACCACATCACAACTTAAACTGTAAACATATGTTTGGTGTCCATGTCATATGCAAGAAGCTACAAACTGATTGCAGGTTACCAGGTGCTAACTTACCAGGCAAGACCGTACTTGTGTTGACCGAAAGATACATAAAACTAGAAGATAGACAAGACCGTACTTGTGTTTCCCCATGGAATTTCCTTTTGGTCATATGCACGGTGTGCTTTGCTTGCCCAAGAAACCCGTCAGCTTCTTCATTTCTTGACATAATAGACATTGCAACGAGCTGATATTTATATTGGAGTAATACTACTGATATTGATTGACAAATGACATCAGAGTGGTAATATACGAGCTAATTAATGCTAAGTACGGCACGGGCTAATAAGTAGAAACTAGGTTAATGATAGTAATTGACCATTTTTAACAGTACGAAACTTAAGTAACTTCTTCGACTCAATCAGAGTTCTGCAGCTTCAGATCATTCACCACGTTCGCTTGCACTTCTTGCAATGGTGGTTGTCCCTCGACATTGGCGATGCACAGAGGTAGCAGAAGCAGTGGCCACACCTGCAGATCAGTTGGCAAAAGTCATTTTGCGCTGTTGCGCTCAGTGATCGATCGATCGAACAGTTCAGCTGATTAGCAAGAATTGCAGTAGGCAGAAAGGTAGCTGTATGTACCTGCAGATGATGAACACGCAGCCTTCGACTCTCTCCACGTACATCTTGCACTTGGGGCACCTCTGCCACTTGCTGTCCTTCGCCACCTTCCTCAGCAGCAGGTCGTCCCGGCCGCGCTCGTCCTTGCCGAGCTTCTGGAACTCGGCGCAGGTGGCACCGCCGTGCCACGGCACCTTGCACTGGGCGCAGAACATCCGGCTGCAGTGCGGGCACTCGGCGTCCGTGATCGCCTCCTCGCCGTCGCCTGGGTCGTCCACCAGCAGCGCCGAGCAGTCGCTGAAGGGGCAGTAGAACTTGAGCGACGACAGCGCCGAGTCGCAGAGCGCGTCGCCCCACCTCTGAAACAGCTGCGGCGGGATCACGTCACGGCACGCCTCCGGGTGCAGCGCGCCGCCGCCGCTGTCCTTACACCCCGGGTCGGGGCAGCCGATGGACAGCACGTTCTCCTCCACCTTGGCGGCGATGTACTGGCGCACGCAGCTGGCGCAGAAGGCGTGCGTGCACCCGGGGATGGCGAACCGCTCTATGGCGTCCACCGTCTCCATGCAGATGGTGCAGTAGAACTCACTGCTGGCACTGCTGCTAGCCGTGGCTGCCGCGCCACGGGAGCATTCGCCGTGCTCCTCAAGCACGACATATGTCGCCAGCTCCTTCCCTTTGCCGCCACCCGTCTCTTCATTCGAGACACTGATGATGTCCGGCGAGGATTGGCAAGATGCCAGTGGGCACTTGGGCAGCTCGTCGGCGTGAGAATCAGAGGCGAGTTGGCCAAAGCAGGTGATGCACATGACATGGTCGCAGTTGTCAGGCTTCCATGAGGCATCCACCGACGGGGTCGCCTGCCCGCACACCGCGCAGTTCGGTCCAGCTGAGTGAGCTGAGAACCGGATGACCTCTTCCAGCTGCAGATCTTCAGCGAACATCAGATCATCAGCTACCCTGGAAACCTCATCCATCTTTGCCACCATAGAGCTGTTCCCGGCCATGACCTGACTCATCAAGGCAGGCTTGGCAACGGCCTCTGATGCAAAGAAACACAAGAGGAGAGTAAGCCATGTCTCACTTCAAATCATGTTTACAAGACCAAATCAGCCATCGTTAATCGTTACCCATGATCTCTGTCTAATCCATATGAATATTGAATAAGCGTCAAAATTACAAGAAAACAAGGCGGAACCAAGTTCTTGTCGCTGCTACTCCACTACGGAATCAACTGGCACTGATAGCTAACACAACTCCTTGCAAGCATTTCATCGAACATGGTGCGTACAGCGGTGCAGGCGCCGAGATCAACGTCGCACGTTTCGTACAGTCCCTAGCACCTACCGTTCTACCCACATTGGTCGCATTGCAACGAGGATGTTTCGCTGGGAGGGAGAGCTGTTTAAGGGATGCGAATTTAGAGATTAAAACAATCATCAGTACTACAACACTGATCAACTGGGTACCTAGGGTTTGAACTCTGAACAGTAGTTCGTTCGTGCCGGGGATCGAGCGAAGCAGCGGCACACGTACCTTGAGGGAGCTCGTCCGCGATAGCCAAGGCTAGCCCTCCTCCGCGCGCGCTCCCATCCGCAGTCGCCGGCCGCGACATGGGCGATCCCATCGTGCGCGCGCGCAAGCTGGGAGAGCCTCGTGGGGGGAAGAAGTAGTCGGAGGGGGAGACGGAGAGGAGGAGGAGGAGGAGAACGAGGCGTCGTCGTCGGCGTCGTCGTCCCGGTCGCCGAAGCGTCGTGGGGCTTAGTAGGCCATCGGGATACCTGCTGCCGGTTTCGTCGGAGTTGATGCGCCGGTGGTGGCTTTTGGTAGATTTTTGGGTTACGCTACGCGTCGAAGGAAACGGGGAAAGGACGCCGCAATTTCGAGGGGAATGCAAGGTGGCCCGTGCCACATGACGGGCAGCGAAATTGGGCTGGTCCGTCATCAGGTTAGACATGGGCCAAAAGTTTCGTACTTATTTCGGCGAGGGGATAAGTCCATCTTAGCCCTCATCAAATAATCCAAAAGAGAGAACAACAAAATAGGAGTGGTTTTCGCGTACATTGATGCTAACGTGGCAGTCCAGTGAACCAAAAAGTAAAAAAAAATTGGGTAAAATCATTGAACCCACATGTTAATTAATGTGCCGCTTGTTTACGGTTCTCCCTTCTCTTTATCTTCACTCACTCACTCATCAAGATCGAACTAGCCACCTGTCGATTGCTGCTGATAGCTCGATCTTGGTGAGTAAGGTCAACACCACTACCTCCAATTCGCGAGCATTGTGCCCCACCTCCTCCATCAGCTCGTTGCCAGTGCCTCAAGCCGCCATCACGATATCACTCTCTAGAGTTGCACAATATAAATGCGTCACCTTGAGCTCCAAATTCACGTCCTTCCATCATCATCGGTTATGCTGTCCAGAGCGTCAAGTTCGTTGCATATGACGAGGTATGTCTCCGTGCAATATCTCCTCCTAGAGCTCCACCTTCGCCACCATCTTATCGAGCTTTGCCTCTATTGTCATCTCCTCAAGCCCCACCGCCTACTCCACCACCATGTGCTCGGCAAAGGAAAAATATGCCACCCTAAGCGAGCTTGAGCTCGACCTCAAGCTCTACCTCAACGCGGCTGCCACCTCCTCCTTGAGTTCCATCTCCACCGACATTTGCCTCAAGCTCGAGATCGAGGAGCTCGCAAAAATCTCTCTCACACACTTCTGGTGATGGCCGCACCACTAAGATCGAGTAGAATTCCCCATCTTCCCTTGCTCACCTCATCTCTTGTCACCATCTCTCCCTTCCCAAATCCCTTCACTCACACCACAAGCATCCTTCTACTCTCCCTTCCTAGATCCGAGAGGTGCGGCAGTAGAGGATAGGTGCGCTGGGAAGCGATGGTGCTTCGGGAGGACACACACCACAAATGCAGATCTTGCGGCTACCCGACAGAGGTGGAGGCGGAGCTCATCAGGCCTAGCCCTAGGAGATGTAGGCAGCAGGACGGCCGCACTAGCCCTGGAAAAGTAGAGGCCCTACCTACCCCTTGGATTAGTGATGCGATCAGGCAAAAACGTACTCCCTCTGTCCCAAAAAAAAGACAAACCCTGGTTTCCGTGCCCAACATTTATCCGTCCGTCTTATTTGAAAAAATTATGAAAAAAAATTAAAAAGACAAGTCACGCATAAAATATTAATCATGTTTTACCATCTAACAACAATAAAAATACGAATTATAAAAAAAATTCATATAAGACGGACAGTCAAAGTTGGACATGGAAATCCAGGGTTTGCCTTTTTTTGGGACGGAGGGAGTAGTTGGTACTACTACTGTCACCGCATGCATCACGAGACGAGTAGGTAGTAGAGTAGCAACCAAGGTGGTCTCAGCTAAGCTAACGTGAATCAATTTCCCACCATGCATTTGCTCATCTGCTACTACCGCAATCAACAAAATGGTAAGATTAGATTGTTTGAATTAATTTGGTACCTTTTTAGCTGGTAACATATACAAGTTCGACCACTAGCATGTTAAATTTTCAATTATCAGCCCATTCTTAATAAAATGTCATTGAGAAAGTAAATGGTTAAATGGTTTGGTCACTTAGGATGTGTTTGGATGGTGGTCAAGGGTGGATGGGATTGGGCCATCCAGTTTTTTTAGGGATATGGCCATCCAGTTTTTTGTTTGGTTGGATAGATGGGATGAGCCAAGTTTTTGTTTGGTTGGATGGATAAAAGGTGGATATGGTGAGCCAATTTTTTGTTTGGTAGGATGGATGAGTGTTGTCATCACCTTTTGGATGGAAATGGTGAGAATACCTCCTACCTGGTATACTTTGGAAAATTGGATGGTTGCATGTACAAATAATCAAATGCATAACGTATTTGTTGTCTACCTTGAGAACAGAAAATTAAAATTAAACAAGATGCTCATGAGCGTTCATGTTACTTATATGCATATTTGTCCATGGATCATGAGCCCAAGACAATTTTTTTCAGAAATTTTTAACATGCATATGTGTTACCAGTTAGCACACATAACAGGAGGGGAGCACACACATACAACACGCCATATGTTCCCATAAATGAAATATGCAAAAATATATCAATTAACCATCATCCAATGGAACCACCACATCTGAATTTTACCATCAACCATACATCCAATACAAGTGACTGGTTTAGGGACAAAAGTAGGCTAACACAAGCCTATTTACCATCTACCAAATGCCATCACACTTAATACTCATAGTTTAATGTCTGAGTATGCAAAATAAGGTTGAATGCAGGCCTATTACCATCTAACATATACCATCACACAATACTCATAGTTCATTGTTTGAGTATGCAAAAGAAGGTTGAACACAGGGCAACTACCAACAGCATCACACAACCATCACAACACAGTTCACCCATTAAAAGTGGTGGCAATATATCTTGCAACCCAAGTGACCTTGTGAGCAAATGCAAGGGTAACAAACACCCTTGCAGTTGGAGGATTGTCAACTAGATGTGCATGATAATGAGTAAGATGTGCATCTTCAAACCCTAGAATGCTATGCACACTCTCATACAGGTTATCGGGCAGCTCATTATTAGATTTTGCAGCCTCTTTTCCAGCTTCAACTATTGCTCCAGCAAGCTTGTCACCAACAGATTTAAATGCGCCTATCAGCCCTTTCTCTTCAATTGCAGCAGCAGTCTTTGCTTTCTTGGGTTTGGGTGCTGAAGATGATGCACCATTCTCCTCATTAAGGGCATGAACTCTACTAGCTGATCCAGTTGCTGCAGCACTTCCAATACCAATTTACTCTTCTTCTTCATCATCATCAATGGGAATAGATTCAGTGGCTAGAGGATCACCTGATCCTTTTGCATATTTCCCTGTAGCCAAGCTATTGCCAAATATGACAAGCATTTTGCTATAATTGTGAATAGGTTTGTTCAGATATTCAGCATCAGCCTTGTGATCCTACAACATGGTTTAATAATAAAACTAGTTTCAGCAACTAATAAAAATTTCAGCAACCAATACAAGTTTCAGCAACCATTATAAATTTCAGCAACCACTATAAGTTTCAGCAACCACTACAAATTTTAGCAACCAATACAAATTTCAACTACCACTATAAATTTCAGCAACCACTACAGGTAACAATAAAATGGTGTAAGTGTGGTTGTGGCATACCTTGATGTGGTCTGCATAATGTTTATGATCAAGTGATATGATAAAATTGTCATCATCCGAAAGAGCAGCACTCAACTTCCTCAGATCAGCTATCTTAGAATATTTCCTTTTCCAAGTCCTAATGTGATTAGTAATCTGATCTGAAGTCAAATTAATATTGAAGTGATCATTCAAAGCTTTAGCACAAGCCTTCAAGTGGACTTGCTTAAACCCCGAGGAAGTTTTGTTCCCACTAGCAACAATATCCTCGAGGTATTCAAGCATGTAGGTAGACATTGAAGATGTCCATGTAACATGTCCACCCTTATCACTTTGTCCACTTCCCTCCATTGCCTAGCATGCATAAAGAAATTGATTTCAGCAAACATATAAATTTCAGCTTGCATATAAATTTCAGCAACCAATACAAATTTCAGCAAGCATATATATTTCAACAACCACTACAAATTTCAGCAAACATATAAATTTCAGCTTGCATATAAATTTCAGCAACCACTAAAAATATCAGCAAGCATACAAATTTCAGCAAACAATAAATTTCAGCAAGCAAATACATGTAAGCAAATACATAAGTCTTAAAAAGGAGTACATAAGTCCTAGAGTTCCATACAAATACATAGACTACAAATCTAAAATGTTCAATTTCCATGGTGAGCTTGACGATCTTCCCATATTTGGTCTGCGGTATCCTGCCTGAACTGAACCATATATGCATGCTCACTAGCTTGCCCACTTCTTGATGTTGCATAATTGTAGTTGGCTATCCATTCTTCCTCTGATATGATAAAATCATCACCACCATCTTCTATAATCCAATTCTGAATAATACAACAAGCTACCACAATATCCACTTGAGTTGGATAGAGAAAAAATGGAGTAGCATCATCTAAAATTTTCCACCTCCTCTTGAGAGACCCAAATGCACGCTCAACGGTCACCCGAAGAGATGAGTGCCTCAAATTAAATAGCTCCTTCTCATTCTGTACAGGATTAGTCCCCCACTCATTCAAGTGATACCTCACACCACGAAAAGGGGGTAAAAATCTAGGTTTTGCTCCATATCCCGCATCAACTAGGTAGAATTTTCCTAACATATAAGGACAAGTTGGTGAAATGTGTTGTTATCAATAATTTTTCTATGCACAAGTTGGACTTACATTACCTTGTGGGACACGAAGGCCATCTGTACGCTCTATAGCATCACGTAAAACTACAGCATCTTGTGCTGTCCCCTCCCAACCAGCCAACACATACGTGAACTTAAGGTCAAAATCTATAGCTGCCATTACATTTTGAGTAGCATGATCCTTCCTACCACGAAAGGAAGGCTCCATATCTTTGGTAACAGAGACTCGTACATGTGTGCCATCAATAGCTCCAATACAATCCTATTTGGTGAACACAAAAAGGTAAAAAATTTAAAAGGGCATAATTTTACGTCTACAAATAATGGTGTACAACTAGTTGTGGATCATACCTTAAAATAAGGATCCCACCTTGGGTTCCCTAATATTTTTGAAGGAGTCGTTATTGAGGGTGGCCTTATTAATTCCTTTCTCAGCTCACCAACAGCATGAAGGACTAGGTTGAAATATCGGCTTACAGTTTCACTGGACCTATAAAAATTAGTGGCAACTACCCTATTTCTATCATTGTGCCCAATTGTATGTAAAAACATAGCCACTTGCTCTTCAACAGGCATATGTATAGTATCCACAAGCATGCCACGATCCCTAAAAAGTTTACAAAAACAGAAAAAAGGTGCTCTTTTAAGCCTTAGCATGTTCACACAGATGGTATCGTTTTTCCAAATCTTGTCATTGAGATAATCAAATCTTTTCCTATCTCTCTCATCTATTGGCCCATAGGTAATTCCTTCTCTCCTTGCAACCCTTTTCCTTTTCTTATTTCTAGACTCGATAACCATAGCCATCATTGACAACAACATATATGATGCAGCCGCATAAATCAGAAACCGTGTTCTGCTGTCCATCTACAATGCCAAAGTTTGACCAAATCGGGTCTACCACATTCATGCACACATATATTGAGTCATACAACATATAGCACTCAGATCTGAACAAAATATCACAAAATAGCAACTATAGCACTCTATAATCATTCATGCCCATGCTTAGAAACTACTATAGCACTCGGATCTGAACAAATCAATCCCCAAAAAACAAGAACAATGCTCAGATTTGTAGTATACCTTCAAACGAGGAGGAATGCAAAGAGAGTGATATTGTTTCTACTCGCCGCCGCAGCTGCCGCGTGGACTCGCCGCCGTGCCGCCTGCAGTCGCCGCCGCGTTGCCTGGAGTCGCCGCCGCGCCACCTGTAGTCATCGCCCGCGCTGCCTGTTCCCTCCGCCCGCGCCGCTAGAGGGCGAGCACCCGCGCCGCCGGTTCCCTCCGCCCGCGCCGCTAGAGAGCGAGAACCCGCGCCGCCGACACCTGCCGCCCGCCCCGCTTGCCGCTCGTCCCCGGCGCGGCCACCCGCTCCGCCGAACCACCCCGCCTGATGCGCCGCCGAATGAGGGAGGAGAGCTAGGGTTTGCCACTGTGAACCGGTGAGAACAGAGGAGAAAAAAGAGAGAAAAGGATGGGAGGAGGTGAGGGCACGCGACCACTTCAGGTGCACGAGTCGCGCGCGGTCCTGGGCCGCCCCGTTCGGCCGAATCGGCCGGATGCACACAACTGGCATCTAGAGGGAATATTCCCTAGGGGGTGGCCATATCCCAGTACCGCCCACCATCCAAACACCTCCAAAATTTGGGCGGCCATATCCTATCCCAGCCAATCCCTCCATCCAAACACATCCTTAATGCATTGAGATGTAATTGCTAGATGAGATTGATATTGATACAATAGCCAATGATTTCGCATATATAAATGTCCAAAGAAACTTTTTAAGGTAATATGCATGGCGTGCTTCATATAAATATTGCTTTTGGATGCACTTTAAATGTTTGTTGGTAGCATTTCATATATGTATATATATTGATTTTTTATTTAGATATTACATTAAGGACCTTGTTATTAGTTTCACCCTAGGCCACCAATCTCAGAGGGGGGGGGGGGTCTTGGAGCTCATTGAGGGGAGGCGGACACTTTTCCACTACTCGAGCTGCTAACGGTGGTGGAGGTGGTAGAGATAGAGGAAGTATGTGTACTCATAGGATAAATGATGTGAGCATATTTTTTCTTTCTACCTATTAATGATCTGACCCATGCTTTAGCATTGTTGAGTTTTTTTTCTAAGTTGCTTAGCGCGTTAGGGGGAGGAGGGGATGGGGAGGAGGGGGTGTTCTCAATAGGGTTGGTTTTTAGGCCTTTCACCATTTTTTGTGACAAAATGGTTTTGCATGGTAGATGAGGGACAAGCATGTGGATGGATGAAACTCTCTTGGGCATACTCTTTTAGGGGAGAGGATTCTAATAACTCGAGTGGACGTCCACCCGTTTATTGCATGTCAACTAGATGGTTACGAAAAATTTTCAAAAAAATTGACAAGATAGATCAATATGTAATATCACTCCATAAATATACAAGTTCAAATTCAACTTCTACAAATTGTAACAAAAATAATAAATTTAATTCTAAATATACATACAGTAATTTGAGTTTTGTTTGTTATTTTTATTACAATTTGTAGAAGTTAAATTTTAACTTGCATGTTTGTGGATTGATATATTACATATTGATCTATCTTATTCATATTTTTTTAATTTTTTCCATAACTATTTAGATGATATACAATAAACGGGTGGACGTCCACTCAAGTTACTTTAACAGTTTCCCACTCTTTCAGACCTATTTTAATGGTCTGAAACTATGCTTTAATATTATTGAGTTTTTTCCTAGACTGTTTAGGGCATTTTTTTTAGAAAAAAATAATTAAGGGTATGTTCAGATTATAGCTAAAATAAACCTTACCAAATTTTGGTAAAGCCAAAATTTTGGCAAGTTAACAATACTGTGTATTTACTAAAATTTGGTAACAAACTAAACATGGACACAATTTTGGCAACTATACTAAAAATAATTGTTTTTGGTAATCCATCGTTTTTTTTTTCAACGAGGTGGTTTTGTATGGTAAGGGAGATAAACAGATGACGTAAACAAAATTACTCATATCGGTGCATGTGTAATCCATATGAGAGGTTGGCGGATGGACGAAACTCCCTAAGAGCATGTTCAGTAAAGCTCCTAAACACAGACCTTAAACAACTTTGAGAGGTTGAGACTAAAAAATAAAGTCTAACAGGCCCCTACTTAATGCCCCAAAGTAGGAAGCCTCCCAAATTCCCACCTATAGCCCCTAGGCCTGGGGGCTCTATCCCCAGCCCCTATCCAGTATTCTTTGGCGCGGGGGAATGCTTCCACGACGCGTGCTCCTTCCCGCGCGATTGCTTGCACGCCGCCGGCCGTCTTGTTGCGGGTGATTCTGCTCTAATCCGGCCATCGCCCTGCTATAGTATTGGTCACCTGCATGGATGCACGTATGCATGGATTTTTCCGCATATCGATGAGACGTGGTTTGGTTCCTGTTAAGTGTGAACAACCATCTGCCGCCAGTGGCCAACTGAGATTTGATGCTGATCTAGAAGGAGCTACTACTATATCTCCTTGCATATATTCATGCAGTTTCGTGTATGCACTGGATATAATATATCTTAATATTGACCAGCTCATATATGATTATATGCATCCATATATGCATGTATATCATTGGATATTGAGTGTAGGATGGATGAACTGCTACTGCTACTAGCCGCAACAGATGGACTGATCGAGCATTCTAGTGAGTCATCCATGCACTCACACTAGTGTACGTATATGCACATATCAGTGTGATATTATAAAAAAAATCAAATTTCAATTTAATTGTGTTGTTTGAAATTATTAATTTAAATTTGATTAAATTCTATGCGTTGGAAATATTAATATTTACATTATTGTGATATTAAACTAAACATAAAAGATGGATTATAAGATAAAATAGAGGAGAAAAAGAAATAGGGGCTAAGAAATAGACGTTGTTGCTGGAGTTAGAACCATTCTTAGAGTCCTGAGGAAATGGGGGCAGCCCCCATTTAACCTTTAGGGACTCTAAAATAGGAGCTATTGCTGGAGATGCTCTAATAGATAAGGAAGCAAATAGGGCCAGAGTTTTCCATGGCTCATGTAGCTTTGTGTGATGCTTACGAGTTGCAGTACGACCGAGATCTGTCATGTCGATCAGTGTCGTCTAACCTGCTCACCTACTCGACGGGTAAAATCATAGGGTCGAAATTTAAGTCGGATCAGTTAGCCTTTCATCTCCTTACCAGAAAATCAAACAGAAACCATCGGCTCCTGTCGTGCAGAAGTGGACTGGGTCAATCGATCGGGCTTCTAATTAAACCGACAGCCACCTGACATGTGTAGTGGTGTCCAGATCGATCGAATGTTCGATGTACTATGGCTGTGATTAGATCCAAAGTTTGAATCTAAACTTCAGTTCTTTTCTATCACATCAACCTATCATATACACACAACTTTTTAGTTACATTATTTCCAATTTCAACCAAAATCTAAACTTTGGATCCAACTAAACACAGCCTACCTATGGCTGAAAATCAAGCCTGCAGGGTTCCTGAAAATCAAGCCTGTAGGGTTCCATGGACCTAGCACTGCCATTCGGCAGGACAAGATCATCGAATTACATTAGCCGTAGGTTACATATTTCGATTCGACGTTGGTTGGTTCGACGTCTCTCTCTCGTTCTTTTTCCATATGTCCCACAGCGCAAAGCGGGAAACTGTTTTAAACACTCGGGTGGATGTCCACCCCTTTCTTGCATGTCATCTAAATAGTTATAAAAAATTTTCAAAAAATTTAACATGACATATTACAACTTGCAGAAGTCGAATTTCAACTTGCATGTTTGTGAGATGATATATTACATATTAACCTATCTTATAAACTTTTTTAGAATTTTTTCATAATTATTTAGATGGCATATAAAAAATGGGTGGACGTCCCCGAGAGATTAGAATCCATCCCCGCGCAAAGCTCCTCAATTGCGCCTGCAGTATGCCCGGGTCGGCCGGGGCCGGCCGCGCGCGCGACGGGACGAGACCGTGCAAGGCAAAGCGCGGGGAGAGGACCCGGCCCACGTACGCCGGCGCGCCGGTCGTCGCACGCACGAAACGGCGACGCCGACGTGCAACAACCCCCGCGCACCACACACCAGTGGAGGAGGAGGCATGCAGCTGCTAGCGGCGGATCAGAGATCGAGCCGGGGAGGAGAGGGGCAGACGCGTCGCGTCGCGCACTTGGCGTAGTGGCGTCGGTGGGGTGGGTGGAGAGGACGACTGGACTAGCTAGCTAGCTAGGGAACAGGATTATCTGAGCGAAGTGGAGAGGGTAATTACTTTGTTGTGCGCGATCGCACGGCTCAATGGATGGATGCGGATATGTACGCGCCATAGATACACGGCTCAGGTTGTTGCCGGGGAACTTAAGCTAGCGTGCCGTCTCGTCGATCAGTCGTCACGACGTACTTACTGATCAGCATATTGAGCGAGCTTAGCTAGCTTCTCAAGTACGGAGGCCTTGTTCAAGCTTCAAAGCATGAAAGCATATGGATCCAATGTTTAGTTGATGCACGGGGAAGCAGTACGTAGTATCCCTTAGATATGGGAAAGTGAAATCATCCCTCAAGGGGATATCTCCACGTTTCGTACATGTCACCTAAATAGTCATAAAAATTTTTGAAAAAAAATAGTAAGATAGATTAATATGAAATATATTACTTCACAAACATGCAAGTCAAAATTCAACTTCTACAAATTGTAACAAAAATAACAAATATATACGCGAATGCACGATAACTATTTTCAGTTTAATTTGTTATTTTGTTGCAACTTGTAGAAATCGAATTTGATCTTGCATGTTTGTAGAGTGATATATTTCATATTAATCTATGTTGTCAATTTTTTTTCAAATTTTTTAATAACTATTTAGATGACATGCAAACAACGAGGTGATATCCCCTCGAGGGATGAAAATCCACATACCTTAGATATCACACAAACGTCCTTACTCGTCGGTGCTAAATTGAAATTCGGTACAAGTTATCGATTTGCCGCTCACTTCCATCCCTATGAGCATGCAGTGTGCATATGGGTATTCGTACGTCTTACATATAATCGAATAAAGTGTAGCCTTGGTACAACGTCGGAATATGAGTATTTTAGGGTACTGATATACTCCCTCCGTTATTACATATAAGTATTTTAAGGTGTTTAACAAAAAAATAGGTTAAAGAAAAATGATCAAATTTTGAATTGTTTGAAATTGACTCCTAAACACATTGACTAAAAATGTTTTTATTCCCGTGCATAGAATTAATATCTTAGAAATACTTATGTTTACAAAATTTAAATCCTAGAAAAGCTTATATCTAAAAACGGAGGGAGTATGTACTACTAGCATATTTGCACTCAATGTTTATAGAAAGAACTTACCAGTTACCAAACACTCCCATGTACAAGTCTCTTGCTAATATCCTCACTCATGATACACGTGTAGCCCCTACACACCATGTTTGTGGTTCCCTTGTATCTCGTAATCACGAAAGTATGAGTGCAAGCCGGTGGCCAAGAAAAAGAGTAAATCTCTCTTTAATTAGCTAGATTGATGTATGTGGTTACTTACAGGCAAACCACGTACGGGCTGATTAAACAAACATTCATCATATACCATTCATGCATTGTGATCGATCATATCAGAGCAGAAAAGGCTAATAAAAAAGATACCACTGTTTGAGCCGTTTTGATTCCAACGATATAAGGACGCGACGAACAATATTGGTAGTGCTACCGCCTTACCTAACTCCAGGTCGCCGTCGCCCGCTAGCTAGTGGACGCCGCGCACGGCCGGCCGACCTCATCAGCAACTACTACGACTACTTCTGCATCAGAGCTCCGCTTATAAATTTAGTAGCAATCGACGTCTTCCCATCCAACAAATTGCCTAACACTAACAAGCAACGATGACCGTCGTCGTCGTTGCCGATGACGCCGCCGCCGCCGCAGCGGCGGCGCAGCAGCAGGAGGAGCTGCCGCCGGGGCACGGCCAAACGGTGTGTGTCACCGGCGCCGCCGGGTACATCGCGTCGTGGCTCGTCAAGCTGCTGCTGGAGAGGGGCTACACCGTGAAGGGCACAGTGAGAAACCCAGGCACGCACGCACGCACAAATTCGCTGGACATCCATGCAAATAATTTTTGATCAATGATAAAAATGTCCGTACCTGTGTGGCTGTGTGCTTGACTTGGCGTCGACCGTCGACGTGATGCGTTTCTGTGTAGATGACCCGAAGAACGCCCACCTGAAGGCGCTGGACGGCGCCGACGAGAGGCTGGTCCTCTGCAAGGCCGACCTCCTCGACTACGACTCCATCCGCGCCGCCGTCGACGGCTGCCACGGCGTGTTCCACACCGCCTCCCCCGTCACCGATGACCCTGTGCGTTCTCTCTGTACACGTTTTCTTGCGTAGCTGCATCTTGCATACTACTGCCTAGTGATATATGCTAACACACGAATCATATCCATGGCACGATGATGCAGGAGCAGATGGTGGAGCCGGCGGTGCGGGGGACGGAGTACGTGATAAAGGCGGCGGCGGAGGCCGGCACGGTGCGCCGGGTGGTGTTCACGTCGTCCATCGGCGCCGTCACCATGGACCCCAACCGCGGCCCCGACGTGGTCGTCGACGAGTCCTGCTGGAGCGACCTCGAGTTCTGCAAGAAAACCAAGGTCAGCAATAAACCTCTCCATGAAAACTGCATACGTACGTAGCTTGGTTCAGTGTAACAAAACCACGTGGATACTAGATTACCAGCTTACCTAAACTGCAAGGGCAATTTGCCAGCTTATTCACAGTAGCAAAAGATATTGATTACACAGTTCCTATCACCACCAACCCTTTATTTTCAGACCATTTTTTGTGAGAAGAATTAATTTTTATCTTATGGTCACGACATCACGCGACGCGCATAATTATTACTCCCTCCGTTTCATATTGTAAGGCTTTCTAGTGTTGTCCACATTCATATATATGAATGGTAATGCTAGAAAGTCTTACATTGTGAAACGGAGGAAGTAATTACATAAACATGAGCTGACCTGACGTTAACGACGAGTGGTCGACTGTCTTTTCTGCTCATCAGAACTGGTACTGCTACGGTAAGGCGGTGGCAGAGCAGGAGGCGTGCAAGGCGGCCGAAGAGCGCGGCGTCGACCTCGTCGTCGTCAGCCCCGTGCTGGTGGTCGGCCCGCTGCTGCAGCCGACGGTGAACGCCAGCGCCGTGCACATCCTCAAGTACCTCGACGGCTCGGCCAAGAAGTACGCCAATGCCGTGCAGGCGTACGTGGACGTGCGCGACGTCGCGGCTGCGCACGTCCGCGTCTTCGAGGCGCCGGAGGCCTCCGGCCGGCACCTCTGCGCCGAGCGCGTCCTGCACCGTGAGGACGTCGTCCACATCCTCGGCAAGCTCTTCCCCGAGTATCCTGTGCCCACAAGGTGAGTTTCTGTATGTGTGCTAGTGATCTGTAATCCATCTCTTGATCTGCCCATGCCCTTGCATGTTAATCAGTTGTGTAGATACTAGTAGATATATAGATAGCTTAGCTTCAAAAAAGATAGTACTAGATTATGCCGCTTACATGCTTAGGACATTTTCATTGCTTTAGTTAAGCATTTAGCACTTGTATGCTCCTGCCCCCGGCACCTATAACTTCCACCTCTGTCGATTAATGCATCAAACACAAACACATGTTACAAGTGATATTCCTATTTTTTTTTCCTAGATGCTAGGTGTAGTCCTATAAATGTCTTACTAAGGATATGGTTTTTCATCCCTTAAAGCAATATCCCTTGTTTTCTAATGTCATTTTCATATATTCATGAAACAATTTGACAACATAAATTAATTTGAGATATATTATTCCACAAATATACAAGCTAATTTGACTAAAAAAACAAATATACATGTGAATAGGTGCAATATTTATTTTTTGTTTTCAAGTTATGGATCGAATTTAAACTTACATATTTGTTAAATGATATACCACATATTAATATATCTTCTTCTTTTTTAGAAAAAAACCATGACTATTTCGATGGCAATAAAAACAAGGGGCACTCCATTTTCTCTTATGAAATTTGTACGTAGAACTATAGTGTGTCCAGCAAAACTAAAATATAAAATTACTGAACCGAACCACAATGATTATTTGGCAAACTTTTATTTACTACTACCTCTGGTACTACTCCATAAGAATTAGTTTGCTTATAACTTGTCGAGTGTACTTGGTAGGGTGGATCCCACCTTTGGTTGGTGAGTAAGATAAGGGTACTAGTAAAGCATAAGAAATAAGGTGCAGGTGAACCAAACACACACGAGTGACGGCAGGCAATACACTTTCTTAAGCTTACTGGAGAAGATTTTAGAATGTAAAGATTTTATACCATCATGGGTAATATTGAAGCTATTTATCAGTCCACTCCTCTCAACACGACAAAAGGTGGAAAAATGAACACATAACCTACACTAACTGCAGTTTCATATACGAGTATATGTTAGCAAGTAGTAACTACAAATGCATCTAGGCAAAGTTGGAAACAACAACTCACCACAGTATGATGCACCATTGCTGAAGCTTGCCATGGTTGTTCCAGGTGCTCTGACGAGGTGAACCCACGGAAGCAGCCGTACAAGATGTCCAACAAGAAGCTGCAGGATCTTGGCCTCCACTTCATACCTGTGAGCGACTCGCTCTACGAGACGGTGAAGAGCCTCCAGGAGAAGGGGCACCTTCCAGTTCTGAGCAAAGAGATCCCAGAAGAGTTGAATGGTGTGCCAGCATGATACTGTTGAAGAAACAGAGCATTTAACGTTCTCCTGTAACAGTGTTAGGCATCTGTTGTTATGTATGTAAACTAAGTGGATAACGAAAAAACATGGAGACTATCATTGAATATAAACAGACGTGAATTCTGCCCCTTCAGAAATTATATATTTATGTGATTTCACGAGTAATTTCTTCATTGGCATTAGTATATCTAACACAATTGATTTCCTTAACCATCTGTACCAAATTATCACCAACCCACATCTGAAGAAAGATGTAATAACAAATGGAAAAGTATACTCAAGCAATATCAGATGCCGCCAATTGAATTCTATCAAAGATGATTCGTCTCCCTGACGAGAATTTTAACACCGGTCAAACAACCTAAAAAGGGTAATAACGACCTTCTAGATTCCAGATAGGGCTATAGTAATTTTTGGGAAAAAAAAATACTAGCAACTTTACGCAATGATTCAAATATCAAAAATTCAAAATCAATTTTTAACAGCCTGTTTGTAAGCAGTGAAATATTATACTGCTCCTATTTTCTTAGGATAAATGTTTCTCATGAAAGTCGTGAACATTTAAGTAGATAATAACCCTTAAGGTTAGAAAACGTTCCATGACTGAGAGCGTTCAATCTAGAGAAAGATAGAGAAGTGAAATATCATGAAGGTCTGCAAACGTTATGGCCTTATGTATTTATAACATTTCCATTTCTCTCTTGCAGCTATGATCCAATAATGAGCAAATCTGACAAGTTCCCTGGTATCAATACAAACTATCGGACAGAAAAAATAATGTTCAGCAAGTGGAGTTACGAGCTTCATCCACAAAGGCAGAATCTTTGTGGTGGCAATTTTATATTTGTCGTCCAAGCTTTGAACAAAAAATTGCCATATGAAACAAGATCTTATCACTAGTCAGATTCATAGAAAATGAAAAAGATCTTACATCAGAGGTAATAAAGTTTTAAACTGCACCTCAAAAGGAAAGAACAGTACAAAGAACAACTAGTAAGTTGGTGATTCTTTAGCATAAGAGTTGTTGAGGGGGGAAAGGAGTATATATCAAGATTGCCCAGGACTACCAAGTTACTACCAACTCCATCTTCAGCTTTTTTGCATGTATATGTGCTTCTAAATAAAGTGAATAGGAGCAAGGAATCTACAACAGAGAATCTGGTCAAGTATGATACAGCATAAAGGATCAATATGTTTCTGTTATCTACATAACACACCAGAACCAACAGAAAACAACACAACCTAACACAACATATGCTTTGAATTGGGCTGACATCAGATCCATTCATGATCACAAAACACATTCAGGAAACTCAATGGAAAAAAGAACAGACCTATTAACTTTGTATGTAGAAAACCTGAACCATAATTGTCTTCTGCATCATGTTTGAATATTTTTTTATCACACTGTACCCAAAGCAGGAGTAAGAGTGCACTACGCAATTCAGAACAAACAAAGGCTGCAATAGGCAAATGATCATCACACAGCAAGAGCAAGATGGACAGAAAAAAATCAACTGCAAAAGCAAGCACTGGGAAGTCGACTGCAGTTCTGGTCTCAAAATAGGAACAAAGAAGTAGAAGCTACTACATAAGTTTAGCTGATAGCCTGATATTGAATGAATTGTTAGATTGAGAGGGATAATTATCCATTTCAACACAGTGTTTCCTCTTCCTTCAAGATCATATTATCAGTTATTGCTACTGATCCTCCCCTGTCCCCAACCCCTTTTCAACATCTGACACAAGAGCCGCTTCCATATTTATCCAACAAGATCATGTTGCAAAGATTGACACATACCAAATTTGGCTTTCCACAAGTTAATTATATTCATCTCCTCTCCCACACATATTTATCAAGTGGCTTTGAAGTCATTCGTGCGCACGCTCTTTCCTTAGTCATGCCACCAGCAAAGTAGGTAAGGATTCACTCATTACCAAGTGACAGAGTGCCATTCAGTATAGTTTCTCTTGCAGCTGATTCAAAGGTAAGGAGTTAGGATCTCCTATTGATATTGATATTTTTTCAATTTAATATATAGTTCATCTCCATCATTTTTGATATTGATGTAAACAATCGAATTTTATGTTTTAGAAAATAAAGTGAAGTTCAAATGCTAGACTTTCCTGTAACCAGAAATTGGCCATCTACCCAGAGAATTTAATACCAGGAAGTTTAACATGTACAGGTTCCAAGGATGCTTTGTATAGCAAAGAAAAAAAAAACAGCCGTTTTACTATTTAACTGTAGTATACTCCAATAAATAGAATAGTTGTTAAATATAAGACTGTGTTCAGGCAATAATTGTAAAATAAGATTGTAGAGAAAACAAAACATATACAGAAGTGAGTTAGTCAAAGTGGTCAGTGACAGCGCAAATGGACAATGATGGTACGATTAAAAGTTGTGATGTATCTCCTGCCTTGTCTCCACACGAAATTCTATACCTTCTAGCTTCCAATGTAAAACGAATAAAGGAGCATAGATGCGATGCTGTATACCACACAACAAGAATAGGCATAAAGAGGACAATCGTGAATATGACTGAGCTGTTCTAATTTTAACATTCATTCTCCTATTCCAGTAGAAAACCAAACCTTCAGTGGGCCTCGTAAATAGACTAGGAAATCAATCGGCGGCATCAGAATAACCTCCACAGATGCCACAGATTTGTGGAATTGTAATCGTATCGTACCGACCAAAACTGATGGAACTACATTCCAGATCATCTTTTCATCAGCAAAGCTAGACAAAAACCATGGGAGAATCTCTCTTCGTGTGGCACCCAACCCAACGGGAACGAATCGAGGGACGGAGTGATCGAGATACCCACCAGCCGCGATTCTTCCTCTCCTGACTCCTCACCCCCCCCCCCCCCCCCAAAAAAAAAAAAAAAAACTCGCCCGTGCACTGGTACTACGCAATGTCCACCTCGCTTTCACCCTAGCTCTAGCAAAGCGAAAGCCACGCCGGCCGCGGCCGCGACAGGAGAACAAATGCGCCTCCACCGGCCACCCTCTCGCGGGTAGAGACAAGCGCGGGCGGCTAGCGGCGCGTCCAGAGGAAAGAGGAGAAGGCAGAAGAGGGCCATCACCTCGCGTCGCGTCGTCGGCCGGCGAGAGCTGGCCGTCGCCGTCGCCGCCGCGCGCCGGGGTCTCTCTCTCTCTCCCTCGGCTGTTTGGGTCCCCGACTCCCAACACCTGAATCCCAGCGGCCCAAATCGATTTCTAAGTTTGGGCCGAGAAGGCAGCTGCAACTGCAAGCCTGTAATTGGGCCTCAATAATGGGCCCAACGTTGGCAATGGAGACCCTGCAACTGGGCCTCAATAGTGGGCCTAAAGTTAGTTGCAGGCCTCAACAATGGGCCCAAAGTTGGTAATGGGTGGCGTGGGTGTGTTTTCTCTATCTTCTTCCAGCTTCTACCCTTTTGGTTTTATAATTTTTTGCAAAAAAAAAAGTGCAAGAAATATTTTTTAAAAAATCATATCAATATTTAAAATAAATTATTTTAGCTAATTTTTATTTAATTATGCGCTAGAGAATCACCTTGTTTAATAGGAGATCTCAACTCACTAAGGGAGAAGTCATTCTCTCTCCTGATTCACAACCCCCTTTACTCCCGGGTAGCGAACTGGAACTAAAGATTAAGAAAATTTTAACCGGGACTAAAAACAATGTTTAATCCCGGTTCTTATTAGAACCGGGACTATTGTGAAAATCAACCGACCCAGTAAAGATCACTTCTTCAGTAGTGACTCAAGCCGCAAAGTGAGTATAGCTCAACTAGGTGTTTGCATTTACGGTTAATTATTTTCTCAAGTAGTAGACGACAGTACTCATCGATAGTGAGGTGTCTACGGCGACTTCATCGATATCAACATATGCTGGCTCAATTTTCAAAGGTGCTCATGAGATAGGATGGACATGTGTGAATTCATATTGGTAAGTGTTCGTATGTGGACACCTGCGTTATACTGTGTTTGAAAAAAAAATTTCCAACTCAGGCCGTGGGTGGCCATGGCGCTCGGATGTGGCCGTGAGCACAACTTCACACTAACATCAGCAGTGCTCCCTCCGTCCCATAATATAAAAGATTTTCAGCTTTTTGCTTACAATGTTTGATCACTCGTCTTATTTAAAAAATTTGTACAATATAAAAAACGAAAAGTTATACTTAAAGTACTTTAGATAATAAAGTAAGTCACGAAGAAAATAAATAATAATTCTATTTTTTTTAAATAATAAGAACGGTCAAACAATGCAAGCAAAAATTCAAAATCACTTATATTATGGGACGGAAGGATTATACTATAGGACGGAGGGAGTAGTAGACAGGCACAGCCGTACAGATCACAAATCATCAGGTTGTATTAAGTGATTCACAAGGTGAAAGATAAATACAGCCATGTCCAAAATTTACATGGTGATGATTCCACAGTGTAAAATTAACAGAGTACAGACTGGAGAATGAATTGTCGTAATAAAACTGGCAATGATTTCTGGGCAGCCCAGAGAAGAATTCTTAATTTGTTGGCATTTATGGTACGTATACCAACGTGTCAAAATTCTTCAAGAGAAACTGCATGAGAGTTCAAGCAGGGAATGAGGCACCGAGGCAAGAACTAAAAGTATAATCCTCGAAAATAAAAGAACGAAAAGCATAAACATAAGCAAACAACCCTACATCAGATAGACATCACCAGGGTATATAAGTGAGCACAAAATATGAAGCTACATATTCAGACATGACAGAAGAAACAATGGATGATGCTTACCAAACATAAAGTCATAAATACCAGGTTATTTTACTTGCCAGATTCACCATCGACACATCAAGAGATGATGTAGTAAGACATGTACAACAAAGTGGATCATGTTATTCAGAATTCCATTCAATAACAGATACGTACAACAGTAATAAACAAGATATATGTATCTTTCTTTTTGGGACAAATGAAGTAATTAAAACATTCAGTCATGCATTTCATGACGCCATCACCACACCAATGGTGCTTCCTCCACACGACATACATTAGTAATTGGCTTCAAACTAATATGTGTGATTAACAAGCATGTTTCACTAGTTCTGTTTAATTTAGGGCACTAGCTACCAGAAGTCTATAATACAACAATTTTTGAGAAAATGAGCAGTCGTTCTAAGTTTAAGCTAGGCACGTAACATGTCCCTTTTCTTTGTATATGATGCTTAATGTTCAGTGCACATTTTTTCCTAGGCATGGAAACAAGTTCCTACTAATAAACTTAGCTTTGCTGGCGCGCGTTTTCTATGTGGTTAATTATTTTTTTTCCATTTTACATCTCAGATTAAATTATACAGATAGGTAGCTAATATCTTTTGGCGGCCACTAATGGTCTACCATCCTAAAATTGAACTTGAAAACAATTGATGCAGAAGTAGGAATGCTGAATGACACACAACATGAGTTGCAGGCACCACACAGGATCATAGCACTCTTACAGTCGCACCTTTCCGTAATCCTGTTCCAAAAACGCCGTTTCTTTCAATAATGTGTTGCAAAATTAAGTACCTAATAGACAGATATTGACATCATAAATGATGAAATAATCCAAGCAGTTGTTCATACCTAACATATACAACAAGCAATGCGCAGAGAGCTTTCTTTGTCTTCCAGCCACTATACAATCGCTACTGACGATATAGAACACCTGTCACCTGATCAAATTATGCATGAATGGAGGACATTGAAAACTTAAACATTATTGAAGGAAGTCCATTTTGCAGAATATGACAAATACACACATTTGATTTTGCAAACCATCCTTAATTACCTTGACCCAAACGCGCGACTGTTGTTTCAGTTGAGATGGAGACGTTTTGCAAATGACGCCCCATTCAGCTATAACTAAAAAAATAGAAAGGGAGAAATAATGAAAATAGTGTAACCCAAGAAATGAGCAGTCTTTTTTCTTACTTGGAAGATAGCAAGAATATATCACACATATTTCCTGGTAGGGTTAAATTTGATTTACAGAGGATAAACAGTATCCTTATAGACGCCATGCCTTGTCAAAAACCTCCAGTAATTATTTGTCTCAGGGGTTAATTATTAATTACATGGCTGTGTTCAAGAGAATTTTATGGTACATTTGTTCATACAGAATTAATTGGACCACGCTTAACAGTTTTAGAACTATCTTTTGATCCCCATCTATCAAAATTTTCCTCTTCAGCTCCTTCCTATCCTCCTCTCCTCACCTATATTCCAACGCCCATGATTCACCCCCGCCACATTTACGTGAACATCACCATATATATTTTAGGTACATGTGGTTTTTGGAATTATTCTATAAATATGCCATCATAAAGTATACTATAACCCGTATCTGCTTCTCCTTCCCAAAGGCATGATCACTTTTCCGATCCAGTTTGAACATATGAGAACTACAGACTAAATTACAATTTTGAGTTTTTACATTATTTGGCTTGTAGAAAACTAATGAAATGATAGATGCCAACTTAAATTCTTCTTGCAAGGTTTCAAAAGCAATAAAAAGATTTATAGGACCTCAAAATAGCACATCAAAGTTAATTTCCTGGGTAGTCTTGGTTGTTTGGTGTCAATTTTCTTTTTCATTTTCTTGCTGTATCCATGTTCCAAACTAGTCCTTTGTCCTCTGCTGATCTGCTCCAAATTACTCCCTCCTTTCTCATATAAAAAATGACATCCTAGAATGGTGCAATCAAACCTCAATATCATACAACATTAATTGATGCAAAAGTATTAGGATTTGATATATGAAAATGGAAACGGTATTAGTAGACCATGAAAAACACATTCATATAGTTATATTTTTAGCAATTTCTATAATTATATATATAGTTAGAACAAGTAATGATGAAACAATACCTTTTTATCTTTGGAGATTGTGACGATGTCCAAAACATTAAGTAAAATGCAATGGAAACAATACCCCTTTTTTCTAATCTTTGGCACATCTGGTTTCGAGCTACAAAAACATCTACTATGCGACCCATCGTTTCGCTTATTCGGGGAATAAGCGAAACGGCATATTTGCAAACGAAAAATAATTTGTGAATAAAACTTTTATATACGTGTTCTAAGCGATCTAAAAACAAAAGCTGAAAAATAAACTTCGATGAAAAAACCCCAAAATTAACTCCAAATTTAAGGTCGAAAATTCAAATTTTGGTTGATAAGCATAAGCATAAGTGAAAAGATGAGACCCATATAATACACTATCACAAAAACCGTCAACTATAGCAGTTTTACATGACATGACCACATCATGATAACCACCAAATAATACCAACACATAAAATCAGAAAGTTCATGAATCAAAGATGATTCAGGACCATCTATGTTTAGCCTTGTGTGGAAATGTTTCTGCCCTCCAATGAATAGCTAACACCAAATTTTTCGCCCACCATTTAATTGCAAGACAATATAATATTATTAATCATTATTTCTTTAGAAAAAGAACTATATATATCGATTGGATTTTTTTATGGTTCTCCAAGATTGTCTAGGCGATTGATTCCAAATTGATCTAATGCCTAATATCCCTCTTACTTGTAATGATCTAAAAGAAGGAACAGAAGATATTTTTTTCACTTGCATATGGTTGTATGTAAGGCAAGCAATGAATGAATCAATTTCTTTTGTCATATTTGAAATTTTTTGGGAATATTGTCATATTTGAAATTGAAAATACAACGTTCAAATGTAAATTTCATTTTTAAAGACATCATTTTTTTATTTCATTTGGTAAATACTAGACTATTCATTTTAAGTCTACCCATCCAATTAAGATGAAATTGCATTATAAATTTAGGCTGTGTTCGGAACTCATTGTTCCCAACTCTCCTTTTCGTTTTCCGCACGCACCCTTTTCAAGCTGCTAAACGGTGTATTTTTCGTAAAAAGTTTCTATCTGGAAGTTGCTTTAAAAAATCATATTTATCCATTTTTGAAAAAAAAAATAGCAAAAAACTTAATTAATCATACGCTAATGGATCGCTCCGTTTTCCGTGCACACAACTTGTGTTGGGAACACATGATTCCAAACGCAGCCTTAATACTACTCCCTCCATCCCATAGTGATCATCACCTAAACAGAGAGACCAAGGATAATAAAACATTCATCATTCTATAATTGATTCTCATCGGTTAAGGTGCTACGTCGCTTCGTATTCCGTGGATTGCATCAAGTTTTAAATATTGCATGTAATTGGATCAATAGAAATTAATCTTGGTTGGTTGCATGCAGTGCATTCAATGATATTCATTTACTCTTCGCACAAATAAACAAATATGCACTTGTTAGAGGATGATCATTTTGGGAAGGCCTTAAAAACCTTGCGATGATCAAACTAGGATAGAGGGAGTAACCAACTGAGTAAGAATAAGTCCTTGTAGAAAAAAAATAGTAGGGTAAGTATTTGTGGGGAAAATGTAGACCTTTTACTTTGCATCGGTCGGCATATAGTAGGGATAAGTATTTGTGGGGAAAATGTAGACCGTCTACTTTGAATAGGTTGGTTATTAAGGACACATATACACATAGCATAAGTGTTACATGTGCAACAAATTTATTTACATGTGTGCAGCAAGCTGCACAACTTTGTGCTGAGTTCATGAAATGCTTAATCAATAATTATATATAACCACTGCAATTGTATACTACATCCAAGAATTTTTCTTAAAAGGTTAATTAGCAAGATCCACCAATTGAATTTTCATATGGTTAAAGCCTACAAAGGTACAGTAGGGAACTAGGGATATGTAGTGTATCTCCTCCATTCAAGAAGAACATATGCACTACAATTACCTGCCATCAATGGACCTTTTTGTTTTGTATTGAGAGATATAAATACTCCATAATTAATATAAAACAAAATATGCTCACTCTTGCAAAATCATGCCGTCATATTAACACATCCTAGCAAAAAGATTATATATATTAATTACAGCATAGAGGAGAATGCAACCATTTCCAAAGGCATTGCAAAACCATTAATAACAGATAGAGAACAAATAATCATAATCACCTTCAATAACAGATAGAGAACAAATAATCATAATCACCTTCCAATCAAATCCTATCTAAGTCAGCTGACTAGCTATGCACATGTCGAATAAAAAAAATTATATCATCACTTCTAATTGAAATTTAGTCGAGGCAGAGATCCATTAACTGTCTCTAGCTCTAAAAAAAACTGCATGCTCCATACATGCATCTCGAAGCACATATAAATATGCATAGGATAGATGCCACTGGAAGTGGGGGATTAATGAATATGCAGAAAAGATAATAAAATAGTCCAGCACTGCAAAAACAGCTAATTCATGCTTTTCAATTTAGAAATAATATTGCATATCTTGCAGATGTGGGGATCGAGCACACTTGCAACACTATGTACTATATATGTAAAAAAAAACAACGGTTATCTGAATTTCAATCGATTTGTTTTTTTTGACGGAAATTTCAATCGATTTGTGGTAACTTCCTCAAACGCAAAGACAAAAAATACGATTGGGGAGGTAAAGAAACTGTGAAGAAGCACAACAACTCGTACACGTAAAGATCTCCAATAAGGTAAAACTCAGTTCATGGGTTAACGCAAAGCTATATTCTGCATACAATAAAACGACCTTTGGTTACACTTTGCTAGCTATTCCCAATTTTTCGCATGGGGGATTATACAGAAAACAAAAGGAAAACTCAGCCATTAGAGAGTTAGCAAAACGATTACATATGCTTAAACCGATGCAAACAACTGAGCCCCCTATATGTTGTTATCTCCTAGACTTGTAACTACTACAAACAACCCAGATTAAGAAAAAGATCAACATGCAAGAGAGTAACTCAAGCTGAAAACAAAAACAATTGGACAAATTAACCAAAGACACCACAAGTTAATTACTCCTTAGTTCAACTGGCACATCAAAGACATTGATGAGCCCCGTATATGTTAATTTTCTCCTAGATTTTTAACTATGAAACCACATGCAACAGACTAAACCAAGCAGCTGAAGAGGAAAACAATTGCAGAAACGAATGAACCAACCAACCACAAGTTACATGTTACTCCGAGCTCAACAGGCAAATCCACGAGATGTGCAACTAATCACCATTATATTAGAGCCAAAAACCGTGAGGAATCTTGAAAAGAAATTAAGAAGAAACCACGGACACGCGGAACTGACAGTATAATACCACAAGTAGACCTTGTACGAGGGAGGCATGCATGGAAGCTCTAGCACAAGGTAGGTATCGAGCATGCATGAGCTTACCGGAGATGGAGGTTTTCCAGATCTTGAAAGGCGAGATAGCTATGGCGGTAGGTGCAGATCTGCTTCCCTCTGCAGCAGCCATGGCGCCACTCTCCTCCTCCCAAATTAACCCACCACAATCACCATCACCAAGAGATCGATCGATCGATGAGGAGGAGGAAAGCAAGAAGCGAAAGGAAAAGAAGAAAACAGCTCAAAATTTGCGAGATTTTCGGCTTGGTTTACATCCTGTAAAGAAAAGGGAAAAGAGAACGAAGAGGGAAGCTAGCTGGAGAGCAAGTGAGAGAGAGAGAGAGGAATGGAAGATGAAAGAGGAAGGGGAGGAGCTAGCAAAGCATGAAAGGACTAGTCAAAACAGTGGTTTCCGTTAACCACACCTGGGGCGGCGAGCAAAGATCCGTATTAATCAAAACCAAACAACCACGCGTCGTCTTCCCCAAGAGCATACTACTACTCCCCACTAAATAATCCTTGGAAGGCACAAACATGGCAACGAGAAGCTCACCAAGAAAAGCAAGCGGCGCAAAAGATAAATCTATGCGTGTCAGCAGCTGTAGGAGGAGCAGTAGTAGCCGCCTGTTCCAGAGAAGATAAGGCTCTGATTGGGAACCGAGCCATGCCGTCCTCGCTGCTGCACCTGCACACACGCGACGGAAACAGCGGCAGGGGAGATGGATGGACGGATGGACGGACATGGACGGACAGCCATGGCGGACCAAGTCCCGAGAGAGAGAGAGAGAGAGCTGACAGAGAGAGAAGTGAGCACGCAACGGCAAGCTGCGTCCGTCGTCTTCTTCGTCGCAACAGGTAATTCAGATGCAGTCTGCCCGCTGTGTGCTCACTCTCTTCTGTCAGCCAGCCGCGGCCACCGCCATCGGTTCTCGTCGCCCCCACATCCGTCCATCCATCCACGACACACCATCCCGTCGTCGACCACCGCGATCCAATCGCGGATCAACACGGTGACCAAGCATCAGAGAGAGAGAGAGAGAGAGAGAGGAAAAGACGACCACCCTGTCAAACAAGTACGACTATGGCGGAAGGAGCCAAGAAGAGGCCAGATCTGGGGAGGTCTCGTCTTCTTCTTCCTCAAACCGTTCCGGTGGAGCCGGCCTTAAATAGAGAGGATTAGGGGTGACTGTACATGCCTGCGCAATACCGTATGCCTATGGTGGCTAGGGTTGGGGGAGGAATGTGGCTAGTGAGGATGAGATTCTGCTCATCTTTCGCGATAGGAGTTGCGGCTAAGAATATCCTCTCCTATGTGTAGTTGATGGCAATTGTACAAACGGTTGGCCGACGAATAGTCATTTGTTTTATTTATGTTCTAAAAATATAAATTTCACCTATTATAAATATCTGTTTATTTCTAATTATACGATTTGTCGCGCGTTTATTATTGTGATATATTTATCTTGTAAATTATTATCCCTCCTATTATAAAAGTTAAAATGTTTTATCAGTATTTTAGTACATCATCCGTATATGAATCGGTTTTTTAAGTTCGTTCGTTCTTGAAAATACAAATCCGTACTAGAGTTGATTTTTAAATTCGTTCGCTTTAGGAAACACAAAAAGAATTGTATAAAAAATCTCTTTAAAAAAATCCGCATGCTAACTTGAGACGATCAGACTTCTAATTGCGGTTCATGATTTTCTAACAAAATATATCCAAGCGAAATTAGCACAGTGAATTTCACCTTAAATAAACCATATAACAATAATAAGATTAAAATATCGTTCACCAGTTACAACGCACTGGCATTTTTTCTAGTGATATATTTTGTATGTTTTGTGCTTCTATTTATATTGTAGTATTAATTCTCTATAATTATTACTGCCTTATTTGTATGCACCAAATATGAGTGTTTTTTTATGCTTGAGTTCCCACAGCATTTACTACGAAGTGTATGTTTGTTCATCAATCGTATTATTCAATGATCGATCAACACATATTGCTCCAACCTGTTGGTTCTGCAATAGTATAATTCCTTTCCTACGCTAACTTTTTATTTGAACTAATGTTTGAGTACTACTGTTTCATTTTTTGTGTTTATTAATGCAAACAAGCACAACCATTTTTTTCCTTTAAAAAAATGGTTGTGCTTGCCATAGATTCAAGGCAATTATGACACAGAGGCATTTTGGCAAATATACAGTGTTTGCACACAAATAGACAATCTTTTTTTCAGATGGCCGTGGTGTACCATAAGGGTGTGTTTGAGGAGGAGGGGATTGAGTAAATTGGGAAGATACGCAAAACGAGGTGAGCCATTAGCTTGTGATTAATTGATTATTAACTATTTTAAATTTCAAAAATGGATTAATGTGATTTTTTAAAAGAACTTTCCTATATAAAATTTTTACAAAAAACGCACCGTTTAGTAGTTTAGGAAGCGTGCACGCGGAAAACGATGTGCTTTCTTCCTCAAACTCACTGGAACGAACGCTGCCTAAGAGGCTCCACGATTATGTAGAAAAATTATCATTATATTTATCATTTATATAATTTATTCATTGGCAAAACGATGTCGTAAAATACGCAAGTATTAAAGACAATTTGGTGACAGGGATGGTTGGGGCGGAAGAGTGCTTAGGATAATATGAAAAAAAAGATCAAATTAGAGGTAATTGATAGAGCAAGTAGTATATTGGAATATTTATATATGTGGACACATTTCAAATGCTTGAAATGCTTATATGGATAGACAAAGGTAAAATTAATGTAATTAATGTATCATATTTAGAGAGGTTTTAGGTGTTGTTGGCCATCTGCCATAAGGACAAAAATATTTTATATTGACTTCAAAAATTTCTTCAAAAGATCATCACTTTTTTGAATTTTTTTTGGCAAAAATAATTTTATATTATAAACCTTGCTGAAGATGTAGTCTTTGAGTTAATATCTCCAAGATAAAAATCCAGAATTGACTTTAAACCGGTCCGGATGACATCTAGGGTAAATAGTTCCTGACTTCCTTCTCAAGGTGTT